ATTATTTTTTTTTTAAAGTGAGAAACTTTTGACATCGGGGACCAGCAGTTAGAGTAATGGCTATGTCGCTGGACTCCCATATAGTCCATCGCCGTTTGAGTCCCAGACCCGGTGGCTTACAACTCACGCCAGGTGCATGTGTGTGCATGCCCAAGATCCCGAGAGGAGAATGGAAGAGAAGGGATTGCGGTGTGGCCATGCCCCCTGGGGGGTGATTTCTCGCTTTCTGTCTCTCTGTCTCTCTGTCTTTCTGGCAAGCACACGCGCTCTATAACAAAAAACCTCTCCAAAAAAGAAAAAGAAGAATTGCCGCTGTCTTCTGTATGTGGACGTTGTGACCTGCAGCTTTACTGGATTCGTTTATCCGTTCTAAGATTCTCTCCTCTGTATGAAGGCATGCCGTCTGCACATAGGGCCAGTCTGCCCTCTCCTTCCCCGTGTGCGTGCCCTCCTTCTTCCCGATGGCTCGAGCTCGAGCTCTCAGTAAGTGCTGCAATGAGCAAGGGCAGTGAGGTGGTATCCATGTCTCGTTCCAGTTCTTAGAAGGAAACACAGCTTTCGGCCTTTCTTGGTTCAGTGTGATGGTTTCTGTGGATTTGAAATATACGGCCTTCCCCCTCCCCAGGTCAGAGACAAGAAAAGTGAGACATCACCCCCTAGGGGGATGGCCACACCATGTAATCCCTTCTCCTCCATTTCCCTCCTGGGACTTTGAGCACACACACGCACCCAGTATGGTTTTCAAGTCACCATTTCTGGAACTCAAACCATGGTTGGTCATGCGGGAGTCCAGCGCCTTAACCACTACACCACCTGCTGGTCCCCATATGTGTGGCCTGTATGTTGACGTGTTCCTTCTCATCCTAGTTTGTTGAGGGTTGTTTTTTGGGTTTGTTTTGATTTTTCATTTTATTTATTTATATATTTTAGGATTATTTCATTTAATGTTATTTATTTATTTATTTATTTATTTATTTGAACTTGACCAGAGAGGGACAGAATAAGAGAGAGGAAGTGAGAAAGCAAGCCTCCAGGTCCAGGACTTGAACCATGGTTGGCCATGTGGGAATCCAGAGCCCTTATCCACCATGTCACCTGATGGTCTCCTGATGAAGGTTTTTATCATGAAGATATGTTGAATTATGGGACCAGCACTTAGCCAGTCGACTACATGGGAATCCATGGCTATGTTGCTGGACTCCCATGTAGTCGACCGCGGTTCACGTCCTGGACCCGGTGGCTTAAAACTCACGCCGGGTGCGTGTGCCTGCGAGCCCAAGATCCCGAGAGGAGAATGGAGGAGAAGGGATTGCGGCGTGACCATCCCCCCGGGGGGTGATTTTTCGCTTTCTGTCTCTCTGTTTCTCTCTGTCTTTCTGGCAGGTGCACGCGCCCTGTAGCAAAAACCTCTAAAATATATATATATGTGTGTGTGTGTGTGTGTGTGTGTGTGTGTGTTGAATTTGATCAAGTGCTTTTTCTGCATCTATTGAGGTAATTGTACGGTTTTTGTCCTTCGTTCTACTGATGTAGTAACATATCACGCTTTTTGATTTGCATGTGTTGAACCATCCTTGCATCCCTGGGGTAAATCCCGTGTGGTCGTGGTGTAGAGTCTTTTTGATATGCTGTTGGATTCACTTGCTAGTATTTTGTTGAGGCTTTTTGGATTTACTTTTTTGTTTCTTTTTTTTCTTTTTTTTTTGTTTTGTTTGAGGGTACCTGTACTTGCCAGGAAGAGACAGAGAAACAGAGAAGGCAGAGACACTACCTATGGGGTATTGTTACAGCACAGTCCCTTCTCCTCTAGCTGTCCCTCCTTTCAGGACTTTGGGCACACACACGCACACACACACACACACACACACGCACGCACACACACACACACGCACGCACGCCTGGTGTGTTTCTCAAGCTGCCAGGTCGAGGCCTGGAACCCTCATAGTCAGAAATATAGGATTCAGCTGCCTTAATCACCAGGCCATGGAACTAGCCCACATCTACTTATCAACTGACCTGTAGTTTTGTTTGGTTTTTTTGTTGAGAGCGAATTTTGCTATAGGGCGTGTGTGCTCACCGGAGAGACGAGAGAGAAAGTGAGAAATCATCCCCCCACTCCCCAGTGAGAGGAGAGAGAAAATGAGAAATCATCCCCCCACTCCCCAGTGAGAATGGCCACGCTGCAATCCCTTCTCCTCCATTCTCTTCTTGGGACTTTGGGTACACACGCCCGGTGTGAGTTTCAATCCACTGAGTCCAGGCCTCGAACCATGGTTGACCACATGGGAGCCCAGAGCCTTAACCACCACACCACATGAGGACCTCAGCCTGTAGTTTTTGTTTATTGTGACCTTGTCTAGTTTTGGCGTGAGGATAGTACTGGCTTCATAGAATGAGTTTGAGAGGATTCTCTTCTTCCATTTTTTGAAAGTGTCTCTCTCTGGCAAGTGCACGTGCCCTATGACAAAAAACCTTTAAAATAATAATAATAATAAAATTGCTGAGCACAGGTGTGCTCATGCCCCAAATCCCCAGAAAATGCAGCAAGGGAGAAAGGATCGTGGCATGACCACACCCTCCAGGGAGGTGCTTCCCCCCACGTCTCTCCCTGTGTCACAAGGCACATACATGCTTTCTGATAAACGTTATTTTTGAGTCATAACATTTTTTTATCCCCAGAAAATGCAGCAAGGGAGAAAGGATCGTGGCATGACCACACCCTCCAGGGAGGTGCTTCCCCCCACGTCTCTCCCTGTGTCACAAGGCACATACATGCTTTCTGATAAACGTTATTTTTGAGTCATAACATTTTTTTTAAATTTAACTTTATTATTATTATTTTCCAGTTTGATCAGACAGACAGAGAGAGAGAATGGAGAAAGCAAGCCACCCGGTCCAGGACCTGAACCGTTGTCGGCCATGTGGGAGTCCAGCACCCTTAACCACCATGCCACCTGCTAGCCCTGATAATTATTTGTTTTTTTTTTAAAGAAAAGTCGTTTGTCTCGCTTCACCAGGGACGTCTGTGACTCTGGCCTCTCCTCCCATGCGTACGCAGCAGTGAGGTGCCCAGGGACCACTGGGCCCCGATCCCTTGCCTTGAGCTCTGCTCAGGCCCTGGCAACCTCCCCACCAGCCTGGCCAGCAGCAGCACAGTGCAGGGGCAGACGATGCATGGGTGGGGACCTCGGGACCTCAGGGCCTGGGAGCTGGACCGTCCTGGCCCGAGTGTCCGGCGGATGCCTGCGGGGTTTCCTGAGGGCTCTGCAGCGGCCGCCGGGCCCACCCC